AACTTTAAAAAAGAATCAAATAGAAAATCTGGAGATGAAGAACTCAGTAAAAGAGATTAAGAATGAATCTGTGAGCTAGGAAATAGAGTTGACCAGATGGAGGAAAGAATTAATGATATTGAAGATAGAAATCTAGAAATGACACACAGGGAAGGAAGAGAGAGACTCTTTAAATTTTTATTAAAACCATGTCTGATTGATTTTTTTCTTTTGTTGCTCATGGTGGTGTATCTAAGAAGGCTTTGCCTAACCCAAAGTCACAAAGAAATACCGCTGTGTTTTCTTCAGAGATTTATAGTTTTTTGCTCTACATTTAGGTATATAATACATTTGAAGTAAAATTTTGTTCTATAAGGAAGGGACCCAACTCTAGTCTTTTGCATGTAGATATCAAGTTGTCCCAACACCGTTTGTTAAAAAGATTATATTTTTCTATTGTTTAAAAATTATTTGACTATAAATATAAAGGTTTATTTTTGGATTCTTAATTTGATTTCATTGATCTATATGTCTCTCTTTATTCCAGCACTTCACTGTCTTGATTATGTAGCTTTGCAGTAAGTTTTGAAATCATGGAATATGAATCCTCCAACTTTGTTCCTGTTTTTCAAGATCATTCTGGCTATTTTGAGTCTTTTCTGTTTTCATAATATTTATGATCAGTCCATTTCTGCAGGAAAGCCAGCTCAGAATTTAATTGGGATTGCAGTTTATTTGTGCATCAAATTGGGAGTATTGCCATCTTAACAATATTGTCTTCCCAGCCATGTCTTTCCATTTTTTTTAGATGTTTAATTTCTTTTAAGAATGATTTGTAGTTTTCAAAATACGGGTTTTGTATTTCTTTTGTAAAACTTATTTCTGAGTACTTTATTTTTTTCATACTATTTTGTACAAGTGTCTTTTAATTGTTTTTTTGCATGTATGTATGCAATATGTCTCTCATATCCCTATCCTCTACTCCTATATTTGTCATGTTTTAATTCCTATGTCCCATTGATACCATGAATTGTTTGGAATATATTCAACCTCTTTAAGCAATTATGTGACATGTTTTTTTTTTTTTTTTTTGGTCAGGCACTATATGATAGGCATTGAGGGTATATCAGTAGAATTGATTAAACATCATGTGTTCTCAAAGAGGTGACACAAATATGATATCTAAGGTTTAATACAGCAAATATTAGAATGATGTAGTGGAAGCATTGTAAAGGGGAGGATAAGGAATATTTTGTTAGAGACGGTAACATTTAAGCTTGACCTTGAAATATTGGTAAGGATTTTGCATACTGGGAAAAACTTTATAGGTAATTGACACAAGAAAAAGGAAAGCATAAAAGCATAAAAATACTTGGCTGTTCATAAGAGGTAAACAGGCTTATGTGGTGTCAGATGACAGGGAAATGACTGAGGGTGAAGTAGGAAATATAGAAGAATCTAGTTTTTATAGCTGTTAATGAAATGTTAAGGATTTTGCTCTGTCCATTGTGGTTCAGTTGGTTGGAGTGTTGTCCCATAGAATGAAAGCTTGTAGGTTCTATTCCCGGTTAGGACACATATCCAGGTTGTGGGTTCTGTCTCCGGTCGGGATGTGTCTGAGAAGGCAACTAATCTGTGTTTCTCTTTCTCTCCCTTCCTCTCCCTCTAAAAGCAGTGAAAAACATCCTCAGATGAAGATTTTAAAAAGTTAAGAATTTTGTGGGCACTGGAGACCACTGAGCAGTGTCATGGGAAATTTTTATTTTTATATTTTTGAGGGGCGGAGTTGATGAGATCCGTATTTTGGAGAATTAGCTCTGGTGTTTGCTGAGAGTGGATTGCAGTGGAGATATAGTAGGGGCAGAGAACTCAGAACAGCAATTTTCAACTGGTGTGCCACACAAATTTTTAAAACATGCAGTATCTGACTATTTAGTCAAGAGCACTGACCTCTTTTTCCTTAGATCATGGGTATCAAACTCATTTTCACTGGGGGCCATATCAGCCTCGCCATTGCCTTTAAAGGGCCAAAGTAATTTTAGGGTTGTATAAATGTAACTACTCCTTAACTGTTAAGGAGTTGACATTACATTTGGCCCTTTGAAGGCAACTTCAAGGCTGATGTGGCTGGTCTCTGGTGAAAATGAGTTTGACACCCCTACCTTAGATTGTCAAATAAAAACAAATGACAGCAGCCAAAACAATAGCCATCCAGTGTGAATGAATCAAAATTATACTTTTTTTTTGGCAGATAGGCAAAAATTATAATGCAAATTTTGGTGTTCCACAGTATTTTTTAGTAATTAGTTTGTGTGTAATGAGAATATCTAGGGAGAGAAGATGAAGGTCTCAACTAGGAGAGCAACAGTAGAATTGAGAGGAATGTTTGAGTTTGCATTGTGACAGAAAGATTCTGAGTATTCAGGGGATGCGATAGGGAAGGAGACGAGTCAGGATAACCTTGAGTTGTCTCATTTAGTTTATTGGATGATGATAATGTCTTTCTGTTTTTTCACTCTTTGTTGTTGTGTTGCTGTTGTAATTTTATTAAATAAATTATGTAGACTTGTTTGATTGCATCATTGGCCATGAGCTTTAATTCAGTCTCCAGCCTCCTTGTTTTTTTTAGAGGAGGTCAAGTTTATGTCACAGCACTCAAAACCCCAACTCTCTAATCACATGATTACCCTTACTGGTTTGGCCAGCCATAACATTGAGTTGCCATAAATATTATATAACTGTGATATTGAGGGCTCATGAGTAACAAACACGTTCTTTGGATTTTGAGTCTCTTTCCAGAAACCAGGACAGAAGTCAATCACAATCCTTATTATACAACATACTCCAAACTCACTTAGCTCTCTTTTCTGGCATACATCTCCGTATATCCAGATTCTATGTTTAATCTGCTATTACCTTGATAATCAATTTTCAATAAAGTTTATAACTTCCTTTTCCTGTTCATCCTCCTTTCCTGCTCCCCAAACACACATATGCCTATTTGCAGCCTCATTACCACATTTGATTAAACCAGTGGTCAGTTCCTGCATTGATAGGATGATATAAATCTTTTCTCTTTTGCCCCTTTTGAAGGTTTCAAGAACTCTTATTTTTGTCTTGATTCCTTTTAGGGATAACAACTTTTTCCTTCTGCAGATGTTAAAGTAGGATCACTTTATAATACTCTTGAAGTTTGTTTTTGCTTTTCTATTACCTGCTGTGTTAGTTTGCTGGGGCTGCCATAATAAAAACTGATAGACTTGTGACTGAAACAAGAAAAATTTGTTTTTTCATGGTTCTGGAGGCTGGAAGTCTAAGACCAACGTGTCAGTAGGGTAAGTTCCTTTTGAGGCCTTCGTCTGTAGCGTGTAGATGATGTTTCTCTCCATGTCTTTACATGGTCATTTTTCTGTGTGTGTCTTTGTCCTAATTTCCTCTTCTTATAAGGACACCAGTTGTATTGAATTAGATCCCATCTATATGAGCTCATTTTACCATAATCACCTCTTTAAAGGCCTAGTCTTCAAATACTGCCACATTCTGAAGTACCAGGGGTTAGTACTACATGATTTTTTGCTTGGGACACAAAGCAGCTTGTACACCTGTCTAATCTGTTTCCTCTGGATCTTTTTGTTTATCTGATTCCCATCTCTCTCTCATATATTTATTTTCTTGACCATATTGTAGTCTTTGGTTGTACTTGTTCATATTTTAGAGTGACGCTATAAACAGCTGATTGCTTTACTTTGTGTATGGGCAGAGTTTGTCTGTAAAAGGCTTTTCTATCAGGTAATATTAACTGCCAATAGCCCTTACCTTTCTGGGGCAGACCTTTACTTGTCAGGATCTTGGGTTCTTTTTTCTTAGAGCTGTTCAGTTTCTCTAGAGAATGATATTCTAGTTATCAGGACAGAGTGGTGTTGAATGTGGAGGTGGCTTACACACCTTTCTGTCAGTGGTGTTAAGTGCAGGGTTAGGAAGAGGCCTGAGGAGTTCTACAGTTTGTTGTATAGGTTGACACTTAATTACCCTTATTTTGTCTGGTATCTCTGACTATTGGTCCTCTTCTTCTTGTTTGTTCCAACAAAACTAACTTCTAATTCCTGCCTGACTCTGCAGGATAAGGGCAGGGGCCAGAGTCTCACTATACAGAGATATAGCTTACTAGCCAGTCCCTTGTATTTTGTTATGAACGCTCACCCTCATCTTCTGGGGCATCTGAAGCCTTGAGCATTTAAGGAGCTCTGCAGGATTTATTAGTGAAGTTTTATTATTTATTGGTTGCCCAAATGCTAGGTACTGTGCTAGAATTATCCTGTGTAATCTTAATTGTAACCTTATGAAATGCTCTATTAGCTCCTTTTTACACATAAGAGAACAGAGGTTTAGAACAGAATTAGTAAATCTGCAGCACCAGGACTTGAACACAGGTGTATTAGACCTCAGAAACTTGACTTTTACCAATTCTGCTATGCTCAGAACAGTTAGCAACTCCCACCTCTGACTCTGTATCTACTTTCTAGTTATTGTAAAAAGGTCAATATATTGATTTGAACACATTAAAAAAGGGTTGCTATACTAAGTATAATATAAAAAAGGCAAAATTCAGTACACCTATGGGAATATAAATATAATTTTTATGACTATAATTAATCAGAATGTCTTCCTTAATCAACTTTGGGGGAACAGTTTCCATCATATATGTGGGATTCAGCAGGTGTAGGCATGGGGATAAATAGTGACATTAGGGTCTGTCTCTCATGATATTGAAAGTTCCTACAAACAAGAGCTTAGTTTCTGTTATTTTTCAGATGTTTCCTTCTCAGTACCAGGTTGAGTGTGCTTAGTAAACTTAATATTCGGTAGCTGTTGGCAAACCAGCTACATGACAGCTAAAAACTTCAGAACTGTATGTTTAAGAATACTTTTATGTTCTGGTACTAAATGTCTAGCATTCTTGTATTTCAAGTCAATGCTTTTCTCAGTTGGCACTAATCCTTTTTTTCTTTTTCTTTTAACAGATTACATCTGTAACTAGATCTCCAGTTTGCTGAACAAAATCACAATGTCTCGTTCACGACAACCCCCCCTTGTGACAGGCATCTCTCCAAATGAAGGAATACCATGGACCAAGGTTACAATTAGAGGAGAAAACCTGGGGACTGGTCCAACCGACCTCATAGGTAAGGGCAAGGAGTGGGCTACATATCCATGGTAAATACATTTTTATGTTGAACAGTAGAGGCAAGACATATTATTTGAAATAGTGAAAGTGATAGGAAAACATTACTGTGGTCTGTACAGAGTGATCTGAGTAAAAGTGAGAGAATTATTTGATTTTCTGATTTTTCTGTTAAAAATTATTATTTTATCAAATCTTATCTATATTATCTTTCATCAGGTCCTTCAGAAAGTTTCCCATAGCTAAGATTTGCCTTTATTTCTTCATTGTTACTCTCTCCTGCTTAGATTGCCAAAACAGCCTCCTCGCTATTTTTACTCTCTTTAGTTTTCTTATCATTATACAACTGTCTGTGTTCCTTCTTAAATGCTTTGTGAATTATGGCTCTTCTGTTAATTATTGCTCTTCAGGTTAAATCTAAACTCCAGCACCTGGCGATGTCAGTACCACTTGGCTCTTGTCCTCACTCCATCTAAAAGAGACTCTCTCATCAGGTGACCTATAGGTCTTAATTTGTTTCTTTTTCTCTGCTACATGGCAGCTCCATCATGGTTGAGAGCAATACCACTGATCTGAAATTCATAGTTTGCCTGCCAGGGTTTGAGATTTACAACCAAAAATCTCTTCAGACTCATTCTCACACATGTTAATCTGTCTTTTTAGTTAGATTTTTCTAATATTTACATATTTAGAGCAAACTGAGTTTTAGTTTTTAGAGTCAGTTTATGTTTTTTAATCTTGTGAAGCTCAAGGACATGAATGATAGACAACTATGCATCCAGTTGACACAGCATAACTATTTTTAGATGGTGGTTTGCATGGTGTTTCTCCCTCTCTGTTACATGGAAAACCTTTACTGCTAGCTTATTTAAGCATTGATGTTTGTCAGTGGTTCTCACCCCTGGCTTTTCTTAATCTTTTCTAGAACTTAAAAAAAAATGCTCTGGCCCATTAAGTCTCAGTGTCTAAAGAGCCTTGTTGTTGTTGTTGTTGTCGTCATCGTCATTATTATTAAATACAACTGAGTATTAGATATAGCCAGGGAAGGGAGCAAATTAGAAATATAATTTTAAAGTCAGTTAAGATTATATTCCTGTGAATTCTTTATGAGGGTATACCTATATCCATTGAGAATGAGGAAGGGAGAGACTGTAATATACATGGTACTACATATACATTCTGATTTCCTATCTGCATTTATTTGGATTCAGACATTCTCTTGACTCGTTTCTTAATTTGGTAAAGTATTGGAGATTATGAGTTGGAACTTGTTTTTCTTGCATTATAGCTGCTGATTGACAGATTGTTTTTTGGCCATTCAGAAAAACCTTTGAAAAGAGAAAGTGAACTGAAGCTCCCCACCATGTTTAAAAGCTGAGTTTTACACTTCCCAGCTAATTCTGTTTGTTAGTGTTACTTAAATATGCCTCATTTTATATTGTTTCTTTAGTTTACAATGTTTTATTCTTCAGTGAATAAAACATTTATTCTTATGAAGATAGACTTATCTAATCATATGTCTTGAGTTTTTGATATAGCTCATTCCAGAATTTTATTTATCCAGAGTGGAAAAGTGCCCAGAATGTATGGAAAGAAGCCATATGAATGGAGGTTATATCTCACAATTTAATTGGCAGTTGTTGTGAGCTCCTAAACATGATGGTTACTACTCTATAGGAATTTTAATCTTGCCCTAGCTTCAGGCAATGCTATTCTTATTTGACCAAATGTATATTACTTTTATAAACCTTGATAGGTCAGCTTTCAACCTGCCTATGTGTTGCCAAAAAGCCATTTTTTAAAAAAGCAAACTTAACCTACTAAGTGTTTTTAATTCAGATATATCTATACTAGCCAAATAAAACACTATAAAAACACTTTATTTGGAGTTATACAAGTTACTTAAAATAAGATGTTATTATATTTCATGAAGCAGATTTCTTAGCTTTTAGTAACTTAGCAAAAGTATGCTCAAGAAATTAAATAGGTCGTATGATCTTAATTTTCATGACATTTTATTTAAATACAGATCCATTTGAATCTGTGTTTAAAATTATATGGTGATTATTAATTTTTTTAGTTAAAATGCAGAATAAGCCCTGGCTGGCGTAGCTCGGTGGATTGAGCGCGGGCTGGGAACCAAAGTGTCCCAGGTTCGATTCCCAGCCAGGGTACATTCCTGGGTTGCAGGCCATAACCCCCAGCAACCGCACATTGATGTTTCTCTCTCTCCCTCTATCTATCTCCCTCCCAATAAATAAATAAAATATTAAAAAAAAATGCAGAATAAATGTTAAATCAGAGGAACACTGGTAGAAGCTATGACCAGATGAATATGGCATTGTTTTGGGTAGTTTTTTTCTACCTTGTATCATTACGGTCATTATTTGTGTTTGCTCATTGGAACATGTTTGTAAGACTCCATGTTTTCATAGCTGACAGCTGTTCCCGTCCATCTGTGCTGATTGTAAGATGTTTCTCCAGCAGGGAACTTATGTTAGGAGTGAATTTACATTAAATCCTGACATTTGTTCTTGAGTGTTTCCCCTTTCTGATATAGTAAATTAAAAAAGATTAAGTTATATATTGATCTGGAGTGATATCAAATTATCTACCATCTGTAATTAAATGGTTTGTAAATTAAAACATTTCCCATTCATTTAAAAAATACACAGATTTATGTATGTATATAAATTATTTGAACAAATGTGCATTGAAGTGTTTCGCAGTTATTATCTTGGAGATGGAGAGGAGTTCCAGACATGCTGTCAATCTCTTAAATTGTTTAAAATTTTTGTAACAAAAAAACATTATCAGGAAAGATATCTAAAACATTGCTAATTTGCAAAAAATAATTTTTAATTATGAATGCATTTAAAATGTGTAAATGTCATTACATATCTTAAAAAGCCAACAGAAAACTTAATCCTACAGGAACCTTTAAGTGCTTTATTATTAAATAAAATTCATACATGAATACATAATAGATGTTTTAGGGAATCTTTAAAATTTATTATTTCAATAAATGTCTTTAAAATATAGCTGTTTTTATTTCTTTATAGTTAATATAACATTCTTACTAAATATTGCTTTAAGTTGTAACAGAACATAAATCTTTTCCTACATTTTTTCAACTGTAGTGTTTCTAGGGAAAAAAATTTCTAGGGTGTTTCTGGCGAAAAAATTTTAATTGTCAAACTTAACTTGAGCAGTATAAAAAGTTACATAATGAGAAAAAAAGTGTAAAGTGGCCAGGTCTTTGACACATATATTTTGGTTATTTGCTCCATAAATATTTGTTATATTGGTCTCTGTTTTATTTAAATGGAAAAATAGAGATGAAACCAGTTAGTAGACTAGATGGCAGTTTGTTTACATGGTGGTATTTTGGTGTTTTTCCAGGGATCTTGTCTTCCTTTCTGCAATCTTTCAGTGCCTCCCTGTTTCATTACTGCTTAAATTGTAATATACGTGGAATTGGGTCTGAGATGCCAGGCATGAGTTGACCTTTTGGGAGTGCCCATTTATTGTGAAAGCAGAATATAGTATAGTATCGTGAACTGCCTTTAGAGGAATGATAAGCAGATATTAAAAATGAAATAGTAAACCAGTAATGTCTGAGAACATACCCTGGATTTACGAGACTCCAGGCTATGCTTCAAATAAAGTATCTACTTTAGTTCATTCTGTTACACCATGTATAATTGAACACTAATAAAAGTATATGCAGATTATTTTCAGGAAGATGTAGAAATATGTTTTTAGGGAATGATATATCATTTATTTATACTTTAGAATTTTAAATCAATAACTTAGACTTCTAATAACAGCAATAATTTTCCTTCTAATACCTATGAAAGCAATTTAAGATTCTTATAGTCTTAAGTAATCAGAATGCCTAAACATTGTTTTTATGGCCATTATGATCTAATTCCATTGATGTTTAAAGAAACTTAAATGTAATCTAAAAGAAGTCTTAACTATTAGAGAAAAAAGATTAGGCAAAAATCAATAGAGACAGTGGTGTATTTGCAAATAATACTTGGTATATTCAATAATAGAAATAATATTGAATAAATACTGAACAAAGAAATGTTACTTCTAGATTTATTTTTCAGTTTTTGAAAAGGCCTGGTATTACTAAGAGGAGAAAGAAGAATTGCCTAAGAGGAGGAAGTTCATGTAATAGACATAATGAACTCTTATCATTATTCTATTTAACTTTGTTTCATGCATGTTTTTATTTTCAGGCTTGACAATTTGTGGACATAATTGCCTCTTGACAGCAGAATGGATGTCTGCAAGTAAAATCGTATGTCGAGTGGGACAAGCCAAAAATGACAAAGGAGACATAATTGTCACAACCAAGTCCGGTGGCAAAGGAACCTCAACAGTATCTTTCAAGCTACTCAAACCTGAAAAAATAGGTATCACTTTTCATGATGTTATTCTGAAAATGAGAATAAAAATGGGTTTTGTATATTAAAATTTCAAATTGGTAGATTAGTCTAAAATTTACCTACTGTTATATCTTATTGGGAATGGGGTACTGGTTAAAATTTGCATTACTTTTGAAAAAGTACCTAAGGGTGATGATCCTGACAGAACTGTCATTCTAAATTCTTTATAAAATCTGTTCATTTAAAATTTTGATTTGACTCAAGTTCCTTGCTCTTAAGTACATTTATTCTTGAATTGCTTTTTTTTTTCTGTTGTATGGTTAAGATTTGAGGTGAAATAATCCTTCTGACTTGACCAAATTAGCAATAATATCTAAATAACATGCTGTTTTCCTTCTTTTTCTCCTTCCTTTCAGTCCTAGACAAAATGCTCCCTGATCAGGAGGTGCCTTTAGCCCTTTAAACTAAAAATAACTCTTCATTGTACCCTGTAGCATATTAACATGTTATGTTTTTATACACCTAACACCATATTCTCATATTAGTATAATTAAGAACTTGATCTGAGGAGCCAGACTCTGACTATTAGTCTGGGCCTTAGTGCTACTAACTGTGGAACTTCAGTGCTTAGTTTCTTTGGGGGGGTGAGGTGAAAGTTGAGTAATCTTATTATCTACCCTAGAGGATCAAATGAGTTAGAAGATAGAAGTAAAGTGCTTAGGATAGCCCCTTACAAAAAGTAAATGTTCAAAAACTTTTTTCATTTTTTAAAATTTTATTTTTTAAATTAAATTTATTGGGATGATATTAGTTAATAACATTAAGTTTCAAGTATACAGTTCTGTAATATATCATGTATATTGCATTGTGTGCTCACCACTCAGTCTCACGTCCTTCTGTCACCGTATATTTGACCTCTTGTACCCTCTTCAACCTCCCCACTATACCCCCTTTCCCTTGGTTAGCCACCATACTGTCTATGTCTATGAGTTTGTTTATTTTGATTGTTCATTTTTTGTTTTCTATTTTATATATCACATGTGAGTAGTATTCTATTATATGCATGAACCACATTGTCTATACATTCAGTCATCCATCAAAGGATACTTAGGTTGTTTCTATGTCTTGGCTAACCTGTATAATGCCATGATTGCTATGATGAATGTAGAGTTATATATCTTTATGAAAAAAATATTTTCAAATTTTGGGGGTAGATACCCAGGATAGGGATTGTTGGGTCATATGGTAGCTCTATTCTTACTTTTTTGAGGAATGTCCATACTGTTTTTCATAGTGGCAACAGCATGAATAGATCTTGAGAATATCATGCTAAATGAAATAAGTCAAGACAGAAAAAGTCAGGAACCATATGATTTCACTTATATGTGTGATATAAAACTGGAATAAAAAACAAGAAAAACAAAGACTCACAGTTGCACACAACAGTATGGTGGTTACCTGAGAGAAGTGAGTAAGGGAGTTGGAAAGGGTAAAGGGGGTCAATTAATATGGTGATGGAAGAAAATTTGACTTTGAGTTATGGGCACACAATGCAATATACAGATTACGTATCATAGAAACGTACACTTGACACCTGTACAATTTTATTAGTCAATGTCAACTCAATACATTTAATTTAAAAAAAATTAATTTAATAAAAGAAATAAAAAAATTAAATAAAAAAGAAAAGAAACTTTTTACCATCACTATATGAGGGTTCCTTTTTTCCTCCACATCCTCTTTAACATGTATTTCTTGTCTTACTGATAATAACCATTCTAACTAGTGTGAGATTATCTCATTGTGGTTTAATTTGCATTTCCCTTATAGCTAAGGAAATTGAGAATCTTTTTCAAATATCTGTTGGCTGTTTGTATGTCTTTTTGGGAAAAGAGCCAGTCAGTTCAGGTCCTCTGCCCATTTTTTAATTGGAACAATTGTTTTTGTTGTTGGTTAGTTATATTTCTTTATATATTTTAGATATTAGCCTCTTATCAGAGGTATCATTTACAAATATTTTCCTCATCCAGTTCGTTGCCTTTTTGTTTTGTTGATGGTTTCTTTTATGTGCAGAAGCTTTTTAATTTGATATAGACCCATTCATTTATTTTTGCTTTAACTTCCCTTGCTTTTCAGGTCAAATTCATAAAATCCTCTCTGAGACCCAGGTCTGTAAGTTTAGTACCTATGCTTTCTTCTATGTATTTTATTTTCTCTGGTCTTATATTTATGTATTTGATCCATTTTTTGCTACTTTTTGTGTAAAATAGCAGTGTCATATAGCAGTCTAGATTCATTTTTTTGCACATGGCTTTCTGATTTTTCCAATACCACTTAATGATGAGCCTTTATTTTTTCTAGTGTATGTTTATGGCTTCTTTGTTGAAAATTAGTTGCCCAAATACCTGTGAGTTTATTTCTGGGCTTTCAGTTTTGTTCCATTGGTCCATGCATCTGTCGCCCCCCCCCATACCATACTGTTTTGATTATTGTAGCTTTGTAGTATAGTTGAAGTCAGAGAGTGTGATATCTCCACCTTTTTTTTTATTTTCAGGATTGCTTTGGCTATTCAGGGTCTTCTGTTATTCTATACAAATTTAAGGATTTTGTTGTTGTTCTTGTTTTCTATCTTTGAAAGATGCCATTGGGATTTTTATGGGGATTGCATTAAATTTGTATATTGCTTTAGGTAATATGGCCATTTTAACTATGTTAATTCTTTTAATTCATGAACATGGAACATCTTTCCATTTCTTTGTGTCATCTTCAATGTCTTTCAACAGTGTCTGGTAGTTTTCATGTCCTTCACATCCTTGTTTATTCCTAGATATTTTACTCTTTTTGTTGCCATTGCAAATGGAATTGTTTTTATTTTTTTTGAAATTTAATTAGTATATAGAAATGCAGTGCATTTTTTTACACTGATTCTGTATCCTGCAAGTTTACTGTACTTTTTTGATTCTACCAGTTTTTTGGTTGCACCTTTATGGTTTTAATGATATAGAATTATGCCATTTGCAAAAAGTGACAGTTTTACTTCTTCATTCGTCATTTGTATGCCATTCTTTCTCTTACTTGGTTAATCTGGAGGGGCCATCCAGTATTATGTCAAATAACAGTGAGAGTGGGCATCTTTGTCTTATTTCTGCTCTTAGAGGAAGACTTTCAGTTTTTCACCATTGAGTATGACATTAGTTGAGGGGTTATCATATATGGCCTTTATTATGTCTATGTACTTTATTCTGTACCCATTTTATTGAGTGTTTTATTAATCATAGATGACTTGTATCATCAAATGCTTTTCTGTATTTATTGATAATGATTTTTATCCTTTATTTTGTTAATGTGGTGTCTCACATTTATTGATATCTAAATGTTGGGCCATCTTTTCACCATTGATTGAACTCCAGTTCATTATGGTGTATTGTCTTTTTAATGCATTGTATTAAATTTGCTAGTAATCGTTTGGGATTTTTGCATCTATATTCATCAGAGATACTGGCTTATAATTTTTTAAATTTATATTTTCCTTATCTGGTTTTATATTAGGGTAATGTTGGCCTCATAAAATGAGTTAAGAAGTTTTGCCTTTAAAAATATTTTGGAAGGGTTTGAGAAGAATAGTTATTAAATTTTCTTTGAATGTTTGTTCAGATCACTGAAGCCATCTGTCTGGTCCTGGACTATTACTTTTTGGGAGGTTTTTGATGACTGTTTCTATTTTCTTACTGTTGATTAGTTTTTCCAGTTTTCCTTCATGATTCTATCTAGGAAGGTTATATATCTCTGGGCACTTGTCCATTTCTTCTAGGTCAGGGGTGTCAAACTCATTTTCACCAGGGGCCACATCAGCTTCATGGTTGCCTTCAAAGGGCTGAATGTAATTTTAACTCCTTAACTGTTAAGGAGTAGTTACATTTACACAGTCCTAAAATTATTTTGGCCCTTTGAAGGCAACTCCAGGGCTGGTGTGGCCCCCAATAAAAATGAGTTTGACACCCTTATCTGGGTTATTGAATTTGGTGTCATGTAGCCTTTCTGAGTATTTTTGTAGCTTCTCTTTCATTTCTGATTCTGAGTTTTTTCTTTTTCCTTAGTGAGTCTTCCCAGAGGTTTGTTAATTTAATTATTAATCTTTTCAAATAACCAGTTATTGGTTGCATTAATTTTTGTATTTTTTTTCTCTATTTTATTTATTTCTTTTTCTAATTTTTATTATTTTTTCCACTTAGTGACTTTGTGCTTTGTATTTTTTTCCTCCCTATTTATTTAAGTAGAACTATTAGGGTGTTTATTTGAAATTTTTCTTGTTTCTTGAAGTAGGCCTGCAAAGATGTAAATCTCTCATTACCACTTTAGCTGTATCCATGAAATTTTTATATGTTGTATTGTCATTTTCATTTGTCTTTATGTATCTTTTGACCTTTTATTTTTTCTTTGACCCACTCATTGTTTAATAGCATGTTGTTTGATCTCCACACATTCTCCACTTTCTTTTTGCATTTGATTTACACTTTCAAAGCATTGTGGTGAGAGAATATGCTTGATATTTTGTCGGTCTTTTTAAATTTGTTGATGCTAGATTTGTGCCCCAACATATGGTCTGTTCTTGAAAATGCTGCATGTGCACTAGAGAAAAATGTATATTCTGGTGGTCTCCAATAAAAGCTCTGTAAATATTATGTCCATTTGGTGTAACGTGTGAATGTAAGGTTGATATTTCCTTATTGATTTTCTCTTAGAATGATATATCTATTGTTGTCAGTGGGGTACTTAGGTACTTTACTATCATTGCATTCTGTTGCTTTATATAAAGTAGGCTTATAGTTGTTCCCATGGAAAACATACAGAAATAAATATATAGTAATAAGAATAAACTCGGTTTTTCATGTATTCACGACTGCAAACCTACTTTTTTGCCCCACCCTGTATTTTAGTGCTCCAATTTTGGGTACATGTTTTGATAAGTGTTATATATCTCATTGATGAATTGTCTCTTTTATCATTATAAAATGTCCAGCTTTGTC